CATAATAATCCTATCTTGTGGAGTATCTACTACGCCACCCCTATGTTGGTGTCATCTCTGACTTTATTAGGAGTACACAGAAGTTATAGCAGACCACAAGGCTAAATGAGTCAGTGATATAATAATGGGAAAATAAGATGGTCACATACTGGGATGTATTAACTATAGTGGAGTACATAGATCCATAATTCTTGCCTTATGGTTAGCACTGGTGGGATATCACCTGGGCTACCGTGTCCAGTTTTGGGCACTACAGATTAAGAGAGATGTGGACAACTTGAAGAGAGTTCAAAGGACAGCAATAAGAATGATCAGAGGTCCAGAAAACATGACATACAAAGAAGGGTAGGAAGCACTGTTCACTTCTTTGAATAAGCAGTGTAAACAAAGTAGTTAATTTCTAATTTTTACATCTTTACTTGAACTATGAACATTGTGTAAAAATTCTTGCAAGCTTTTTCCAAATATGCTGAAGCAAGGTGGTTTTCTACTTAATATGATGGCACTGAAGATGTGCAACCTGTTGAACGTTTCACTTTCTGGAGGCTACTTTCATAGAGTTCTAATGATATTATAGTCTAATGCAGAGTTGCTGTTGAGAGATGTAGTTGGTATTTCAGCATGTTATAGTGTTTGGAGTTACACAGCATGTTGCACAGTGCTTGGAGTTGCACAGCCCTCTTCAATGGGCAGCGTGAAGACAGAGGTTTATGGAATTTCATTAAGCGTGCATCTAGTTGATTACTTTAATTTTTTTTTAATGTTATTTTAGTTTACGTTTAGATGCAAGGCTGAAGCTGTCCTCCTGTGATATGTTTCTCCTTTGTGATATGGCAATATTGAGTGTTTTCCATCAATATTCCACATTATAGAGAATTCCCAGTCTGTGTACTTATTTTTAAATGTTTGCTTTAAGTGGTGGTGGTGTTTCAGTCTCAAAAGGTCAAAAATGGTGATTCAAACTGATATTTGGATTTTTTTTAAGAAGAGCCAATTTAAGCCAAACTATCTAAGCTGTGGAAGAAATTATGTTAGAAAAGGTGCAATAATTTTAAAATATATTAAGAACTAATTTACTGCTGCTTTCCTAATTCTGCAGTAAGTCTGAGTAAATTAACACCAGTTATCCCAGTCTTTAACTAGATTGTTTTAAACAGCTATATAAAATTCTGTAACAATCAGCTGTATTTACATTGGCCAGGGAAAAATACAGAGCTTTTACTTAATCATACTAACACTGCTGGCATGTTCTTCGATTAAAAGCTTTTGCTGACTCAGTTTGAATTTGGACATGAAAAGTGAGCAGGTCTATTGTGCTGGATATTCAGTTTTTAAACTGCTTTATCCTGAATAGGTCAGAACTACTTTCCACACTAAGAAATAATCTAAAGACATGCCAAAAAGAACCTTCCCCCCAATTTCTAATGACATTAACTTATTAGTAACACAAATGGGGGACTGCTTAGGAACTTGGAAAGCTAAAAGCAGCCAAATTAGTGTCTCATTTGATTTGATAAATATATCAGAAACCCTGCCTAAACTGATAGTTAAGGGTAGCCTTTCCTGTCAGCATAAAGGGTGTACTTAGCAAAGGGTCTACAATGCGAACCTGTATAACTGGGCCCCAGCAACAGCACAGTCCAATTGTGGAAGCTCTTCTGAACCTCTGCATGAAGATGACCCCAATCTCCCTTGTTTCTTGGTCAGCTTTGGTCTGCAGTGGATTTGGCCACTTTCCCATGCACTGCAGGCACTGAGCACCCCCTTGAATTCCTTTCCCAAAGTTCTGGTTCTTCTGCACTCTGCCTCCTCACTCTATAGCATGTATAAACACAGTTCACAGACTGATTTATGTAGGATAGTATTACTCTACCAGCTAGAGCCATGGAGACAGCTTTGGCGGATTATGCAAGTTAAAATAGTAGTGGGGAAGGGTGGCTTATAGTTTGGCTTAGTTGAGTGAAACTTAAAGGCCAATAGTGTACACATGCAAAGAGAGAAGAAAAGCAGAAGTGAAAACCTGATCCAAAAAACCTGTTAATAAATTGTGTTGTAGTGGTTCCAGACCCCCCTGTGACTAAACTGTTAGGCACAAATTACTCTGGCACAGAATGCTGTTTGCCTATGTAGTCCATAGATAAACTTGAAATCTTCAAAACTTGATGAAGAAAAAAATCTTTATTGTGTTTATTTAAACTTGTCATTTGGCCAATTTAAAAATGCCATCAATTTTAAGATTTAATACCTAAAGTAATACTGAAGAATCAAAATGTAATAATTCATGTCAAGTTGCTCAAATTTGCAGCATGGATAAGAGAAAAAGTGAACTATTTCTAAAGAAATAATGTAACTTAAACAGTCATCTCCAACTTGATTTGAATGCAGTGCTTAGAAATATAAGGCTCTGGCCAGTTTTTGGTTAGTACCCTGAAAAATTCCAGATATATTTTTGCCACTTCAAGCAATCTATAACTTTACAGGAATGTAGTGTAAGATCTATAGTATGCTAAGCAAGGTTCCTTTCCAAGTCACACTCAGATCTACAAACTTCCCTTTAACATAACAACTTTTCTGCTTCAAATGGGAGGAATTCATGCCTCTAGAAGCAAGGCAATTCATTATTTACAAAACATAGGGTTTTCGTTTTTGTTATCTTTCTACTATAGGTCCATATATAAACTTGAAATCTTCAAAACTTGATGCAGGGAAGACCTCTCTTTGTTGTGTTTATTTAAGCACCTAATTATTGGGGGAAAAGTGTGGGGTAGTGTTAACTTGGACTTCAGTCACTACCATGATTGAGTTGCAACTTGGAGCTTAAATTTAGGCGTAGAGGGCGCATCTAGTGGTACACTTTACTGCTGAGTTGACTAATTAGCCCCACAGTGAAGTGTTACCATCTACACATGCATCCATATCAGGGCACAGTAAATTAATTAACTCCTCTGTAGGATAGTACTGTCCAGGACAAGTACTGTCTTACAGTAGAGTGATTTACGGTGCCGTAACACTCGTATGTAGATGGTGACCAGGGCTAGCTGGGGCAGGAGGGTATTACAGTGAGGGGGCTGCCTGCCAGCTAGCCTCACACTGTAGCATCCTTGTGTCCCAGCCACCCCCTCCTCCACCCACTGTCACCACCTGGAGCCCAGGGCTGATTCCCTGCCAGACCAGGGATACTCTGCTGTGGTTCAACGTGCTACAGTCCCAAGCACGTGTAAATGCTGCACCTGGGAGAAATAAACTCTGGCATATTGTGCCAGAGTTTATTTCTTCATCCTAATTGCACATGTAGATGCACTCAGTGTCTCATTCAGAAGTTCCTAAATAAGTCATTACCAAAAGTTTCCAGCCATAGTTTACATGTACTGCGAAGGGCAATATGTTCATCAAGTGATACCTTATTTTTTCATCTTATCAGCTGGTGACTGGAGTATGGGAAGGAGGATACAATTTCTTCTGTCAGGATACACACAGTGGAGGTGAAGCTGACATGAAGGTACATTCACTTCAGACCCTCGATTTATTTATTTATTTATTTTTGTAATTGATTGTTGTTGATGGGTGAGGAGCAGAGCAGTATTGATCGTTGTTCACGTTCGGATTAAACAAGCCTTCCCCCTCCCCCTTCCTTTCTCAGTGTAAAGGAAATCCAGTGTAAAGGTAAGTCCATAATATGATCTAAGCATGTTTGGTATTTGGAATAAAACACCTTGAACCTGGGCATGTGTTTAATGGATTCTTAATGCACATGGCATCTGGGCATATATTTAGAATATCAGTTTGTAACTGTCCATATTTAGCCATAGCTCCCTTTCTTCCCACTTTCCAACATGAATGCTGTCTATCAAACTGCTTTTCCCTACCTTCAGAAAAAGTCTTATGTTATGATTCTCTGTTGAGGAGTCTCACTTCTGAATACCATTCAGACCTGCTTTTTACTGAGAGCACAGCAGTAACATGTTGCCTGTTTTGTCTTCCTGTGCTCCCTAGGTGCATTGCTATAGCTTCATAAGACATTCTCTGTCATCCTTCTGTTGTATTCAGTTACAACTTCATATTTGATTTAGAAAGACTGTAAGTCAAGGAATGGGCTGAAGCTTTACAGACATCACAATAAAAGGCTGTGGTTTGAGATGTTTTGTTGAGTTTAATCCCTTGCAGAGTGAGAAAGTAAAACAAACCCAAACTCTGGAGAATAATATTGCTAAAGGGTGTTTTTCCTCCTCCTCTCCCTTTTAGATCATACGTGTCCTCTGGTGGTACTATTTCTCCAAACTCATCGAATTCATGGATACCTTCTTTTTCATTTTGCGAAAAAATAATCATCAGATCACTTTTCTTCATGTCTATCACCATGCAACAATGCTGAACATTTGGTGGTTTGTTATGAACTGGGTGCCTTGTGGTCACTGTAAGTACTTTGTGAGGAGAAAAACCTTGTAGGCTTCCATTACACTTTTATGTCCCAAGACTGTTACAAATTGCTCCCAAGCAACACTCATTGACTTCAGTCTTTGGCCTGTCCTTTTTAGAGGTTGGTGAAATGTTAAGCTGTTGTGTGAAATTGCAGTGGCTGGTGCTGCTCGTAGGCATTAAGCTGTCTGCAGACCTTAACAGTAGAGATTTATTGGACAGGGGTGACATGAAAGTGGAGAGAGTAGTTTTTCTGAGTTGCAATATGATGTTTGCCATATGCTATATATTGACTCTTATACCTGTCATTTTTTGCCCACTTCATTTGATGTGCCATGCAAACCCTCAAATAAAGCAGCATCCATCATTTAAAATAGGCTCAAAAGCCATGTATTAAGGTGACTAAACAATTAGACTCAAGAACAGTGATTTGATTTCTATCAAGCTTTGCCAATCCAAGATGTCCTTTCCTTTAATGTATTTTATTACACAGATGTCCATAACAAATTATTTCAGTTAGTCTTTGTCCCCTAAGAACTAATGAATTTGACTAAATGCCTCTTTATCTGTTCCTGTCCCCTTGTTTAAACCTTGCTAAATACCACTGTCTGCTGGCAACCTAACTGTTCTTTAATTCTTTAATCTCAGCTGCTGATAGCTGACACTTAGTTTCCCAAATGCATTAGCATAGTTTACTTGTGAGTCAGCTGCGCTAAAAAGATACTGGCTTTTGCTTCTTGGGAAACACTTGTTTAAGAAGAGCTTCTATCTGATGTTGTCAGCATAGGAAATAAGTGATGTGGATTCCTAAACCCTCCTTATTACTAAGCAGAACAGTATAAAAACTGTGTACAATTTTTTGTTAATATAAAACCATACTTTTTAACTTTGAAAAAAGTGCATCTGTAACAACATTATTCTGTGGAAAAATCAACTAGCAGTTTGTACAGGCTTTACTGTACAAACACACTTATTCCATGTTCTTTTTTCTTTTTTTTCCCAATCTAGCTGTTCTGTTTGGACTTTAATAACACTATACAATTTTGTGATGGGCAAGTAAATGTGTCTTTAATAGCAGAGAAAGTAAGTAACTGCTGTAAACAAAGGCAATAAAACTGATAAACTGAGCATCCAAAAATCCCTATCCCTGTGTGTCTTGTAACAGGGGACAGGCCTAAAATTAGACCTATGAAGTTTTTGATTTATGGACATGTTCTTGTACCTCTGTTCTACCTGCTTACTCAGTTCTTCTGAGCAGAGTGTCTTGTAAAGATAAACAGTGCAGAAGCAGAAGGATGGCACAAAATGTACTGATCATATGTGCCTCAGCCTCCTTTGCTTGTTGGCCTTTTGCTCACCTCAGCCTTTGTTTCAGGAAAAATGGTCATCAAAGCATTTTAAGTAGTCACCTTTTGAGGCCATCATTTCAGCTTGCATTCCATACAGCAACACGTGATATAATAAAATGCTCTTTCTTTTCCCCCACTGCATTTTAGCATACTTTGGTGCCACTCTAAACAGCTTTATTCATGTTCTCATGTACTCCTACTATGGACTGTCTACTATTCCAGCTATGCGTCCATATCTGTGGTGGAAGAAATACATCACTCAGGGGCAGCTGGTGAGTTACTTATTCTTCAGTGCCTTGCATAAGCTATAATAGGAGGAGGGGACTTTAACTTTTTGACTGAAACTTGTAAACTTTTCAGGGGAGGGACAGTGGGCTAGTCTTCTGGAGGTGTTTGGGTACCAAAGGAGGCAGTTGGGGCTTATACATCTATTTTTCTCTTGGGTGCCTAGAAAAATGGTGTCTTATGTTTCTGTACCGTACTAATTACAGTAAGGGCTTCTGAATACAAATCATGTAATATTAGGTAACACAAAGGAATTGTGATGTTTCTTTCTTAATCTCTTGTGATTTGAAGCTTAATTTATTTCTGTGCCCTAGCAGTGGATGTTCAGGGATTCCCTGTATTCTGGCTATGGAAAAGCAAGTTCCCTCCCAGCCATTTGTAACCAGTGTGTTCTTTTTAAGCATTTTTTTTTCAGTCATAGGTTGATGCTGTGATAACAGAGCAGAAGCTGAATATGACTTAAAATCCACAGCTAACAAGGCCCTTTTCTTCTAGGTCTGCAAAACAATTGTGTTTCTGTCTAGTTTCTTGTGTAGTTGGTTATAAATGGCTCTTTAAAAACTGTTCAGTATTTCTTTTCTCCATCTGTACTTTAAATAGGTGGATTTTTTCACTTACGTTTGACATGGACTCCTTATATCTATTCATATTACTTATTTTTACTCAGCCATGGGTCCTAAATAAGCTGTGTTGAGCAGGCAATAAAAATGAATGTATTGGGGAATATGTATAAAGACCAATATGTGTGTGTTCAGGGAATACAAGGGTTGTTTGTTTTGCTGCTACCTCTAATTCATAGATTTCAAAACTGTGCCTGAAGGAGGGAACATATTGTATTGTCACATTGACAGATCAGGGAATTTAGGCATAGAGAAGTAATCTGCCCAAGCAGGTCAGTGACAGCAGTGAGTAGATTCAATTTAATGAGATGCTAATAATATGAGCAATGAACAAATGTTGTAGGTGGGTATAAAAAGTTCAAGACAGAGCTAAAGACTGGTGAGAGCATTGGAAGATTTGATTCTTTGTATCTGTGAGCATCTTTTCTCCCAATACAGTGCAACTTTGTCTGTTCCATCTCTTTTGTCCCAGTGTTAGACACTACTTTCTTTCTTGCTAGTTGATTGGTTCCATTGTAAAGCTTCCAGATACCTAGAACAATTCCCTATCAACCAAATCATACCACCTAATGGTATCTGTGAAGATTGTCCCACCTCCCCAACCCAGGTTACAGGATGCAGTGTTTGTTTCCCTACAAGATGGATTAAACTGTTTTTTCTGGTTTTCAATAATTTTCCTTAATTCATCAGTCACCATATAAGAATGAAATTTGACCAAGGTCTTTTGCAACACTTAGGTTGTGAATAGTGACAGTGCTGGATGGGGACTACAGACACAACAGCCAGAGGTCCCTGGGCACACCACACCACACCACATGCTGCAGAAAGGTTTTCCAGGGTGACCTCATGTAGTTCAGCTGGTTACTCATGGGGAAGGACTTACAGCAGTATGTCGCCCACAGAAATTTTTCAGCCCAAGAAATTCTAAAGCAGTCCTTCCTTTTCCTCACCTGACACGTCTTGACATTAGGATCAGGAGTCATTTAATTATGTTTCTCTATTTTAAGAAATAGGTAATACATCCCTATGATAGTTTTTATATAACAAGTTTATGTAACCAAACTCACCCATGCAAATATTGGCCAGTTTAAGCACAGAACAAAATTCCTAGTCATTTGCTTTCCTCACCCCTTTAGACCAGCACCCTCTATCCTTTCTTTCCCCAACCACAGGATTATGCTTAAATAGATCCCATGATTTCTATAGATCCAGTGTGGTCTACCTGTGCAAAGGGCGGCAAGTACATGATTAGCTTTTAGGCTGGTATGGTGAAGGAATCCAGAGCTGCATAGTTACATTGTGCTTTGGTCCCAGGTAAAGTGGCAATGGATTTCAACTTCCTAATGGTTTTGCATCATAATGAAATACTTATTTTTTGTAAAGGCTGAAAGTGGATTTTATACCTCAGTGCATTTTAACAGTTTTTATTAAATAAAACTCATTTAAAGAAATGGTCTGTCAAGCAGTGTTTGTTTAAAAAAAATCTGATTCATACCATGAAGACAAACTATTTTCAACATACTTTAGTGATTATTTTAACTTGCTTAAAAATGTATTTCACTGGTATTTGTTTTCCTCCTTGTCGCATCACACTATTTTTTCTCTCTCTTTCTCTTTCAGACTCAGTTTGTCCTGACAATCTTCCAGACCAGCTGTGGTGTTGTTTGGCCATGTCCATTCCCTCTGGGGTGGCTGTATTTCCAAATCTCCTATATGATTTCTTTGATTATCCTCTTCACAAATTTTTACATTCAGGTAAAAGTAATATCCATTCATTCTTTGTACCATTCTGGTAATTATCTATGTTTTAAAAGTGTTGTGCAGTAACATATTGCTTTGAGCCTTGAATTGTATTTAGGTGCTTTTTCCCCTCTTATGTGAACTTTTTTTTTGTTTTAATGCTTAACTCCCACTGCCCTTCAACCCATCTTCATCAAATGCTTTTAGTGCACTGTATATGCATTAAGGAAGAGTAGGAAATTGAATAACAAGCAGAAGCTGAACGTTACCGAATGCTTTTAGCATTTGGTAAATAAAAGAGTGTGCAAGAGAGAAGCAGTGACCTATGAAGCTGATACACATTTTATTCACATAACATTATCATTGCTGCAAAAATAGAGCCTAACTGTCAGAAATGATAGCATCTTTCAAACATTTTCTCAATATCTGACATCTAAACCATTGCCAAAAATCTTTTTTTTTTTTTGATCCACTTGCATTGAGATTTGCTGTATATCCAGTACAGCAAAACTAGTGGATTAGTGTTCACTCCTCTGGCTCTAAAATGTATACATAACAACTCATGAAAAATGTATATGATCTCTGAATATATCCAGAACTTAACGTATATTTCATTGAAAAAGGCAGGAATCAGGCTTTTGTGCTAGGATGTACAAGGCATTGCATTTTTTTTTTTAATTGCCATCCAAACCAATTAGTTTTGATGGTTTCCTTTAGCATAATTTAGCCTTGCCATGTGCTAACAACATTTCTTAACTCTTCCTAACAATATCTTTGTACTGTTTGTTCTCTTGCCCTTTCTTCTTTAGCAGGATATAATCCCTCCACACGTGAAAAAATATTTCGCTTTTAAAATTGTGTATTCCAAGTGAATGTAAGTTAATTTTAATGTTTATTTAACTTCTTTAAGGAAACATGTCATTTATATCTTTGTACTTCTATGTGTTTTAGACATACAACAAGAAAGCATCCTCTAGGAGGAAAGAGTATCAGAATGGCTCTACAGCCACGGTGAACGGGTACACAAACAGCTTTTCTTCCCTCGAGAACAATGTGAAACAAAGAAAACAAAGGAAGGATTGAAGACCAAACTGAGAAACCATTTTGATATGCCCGACAACAAAATCATCTGATTGTAAGCACAATAAGAGTTGTGCACTGATACTCTAACAGCTACTGTAACTATTCCTGCCTAGAATAGTGTGATTTATGTAGGACTTAACCAGTGCAAACAACCTAGAAACTGTATACAGAATATAAAAGTAGGTTAAAGTTAATAATAATTCTGGGCTGTCACTGACCCCGCTATAGACTGTGGAAGAGAGTATTATTGTAGTATATGACACTGCTGTTGCCTTACTAGTCAATAAGATAGGTGCTGAATTATTGATTCACAATTTCAAAACACTGTAATCCAAACTCATTTTTTACTGTAGATTATGCATGTGATTGCAAAAGTAATTTGTATGATGTTGTTTTCAGTAGATAAACACACATGCCTTAAAAAATTAAAAAGCAGGGCCCAAAGCATATTACTGGTTTGAAAATTAGGCTGTGCTTCAAATTCTGAGTTGATTGACTTTTAAATAAAAGTCAGTTAGAGAAATCCATTGATTGTTTTACTGTCCTGTGTGTGGTACTTAACATTATGTATCTCCACATGATACAGTGAAATTAGAAATGGCACATCTAGTTTTGTATATTTGGCTTTAACTGACTAAACAGTCACAATCCAGATGGACCAGTTATTTTACCTTTTTAATAGATCTTATTTTTTTATTTTACATATCACTAATGTAAAATTTAATTGGCACTTTCATGGTCCAGTAAGACTTAGATATTGTCTCTAATGGCTAAAAATATACAGGGTAGACACATCTTGTTTTCTATTTCTGTGTATTTCTAAATTGCATAGCAGTTTTTAATACTGGAAGCTGTGCCAGTTTCAAATATTGTGTTACCATAGCCATATCTGTGTTTTAAAAGTGACTGGATAGTCTGTGACCTACCTTTTGAAAGTTCATTTAAAAATGAAGACAAAAGATGCTTTTCAGATATACTTGTTCATAATTTAAGTTGGCATTTATATTGCTATGTGTGTAGAATACATTGAGCTCTTAATGTGCCTCGCTCGTGAAAACAGGTTTGTTTGTTTGTTTTAAAAAAAAGCAAAATCGAAAGAGACTAAATCATACATAATATTTAAAACAAAACCCTTGAAATGAGCTGGAGATGAGTGTTTGTTTTGTTAATGTAAGTTGTGTGTATCACCTGTAACTTTTTGGCTTGTTGTCTACAGATTTGTTTTGAAATACTTGTTAAAATTACTATTCACTGTAAAATCTTGCCTTGCACACATGAGGAGTCAAAGCAGACATCTCTAGCTGGAATGTCATTTGCTCTGGTGGGGTTTAGCTTATGAAGACTTTATTGATTTTACTCTAAGAACATTTAGTTAAATGTGCAAGGGATCTTATTGACCATTTGCTAAAGTATAATGGTTTTGCTTTGATATTTATATAAATATCAGTTTACCATGTTTAATTTTTTAAATCCATTTGCACATCCATTAGGGAATAATGAGTTCTTCTCTTCAGCCTTGTGGCTTTTCTTTATTTGTTTAGAGGGAGACACAGTGTCTGTTTACATTTACATTATCAAAGCTTGTGTATGCGTGTCTTCATTTCTAGGTACTGGTTTGCAAAGTCTTTACATATTTCAGTACAGCAGCTGTAACATTCAAAATATGCTGTCTAAATGTGCTATAAATAAACCCTTGGCTCATCTGAATATACCTACATTGTTAATGTTTGACATTTGTTTAATCATTAAAACACTTTTGATTTATCTATGCCTGAATTCCATAGTGCATTTTTATGGATTTGATACAATACCCTATTTTATATAAAGCCAAATTGGAGGTGGCGGAGGGCGGAATTTTAAAGGACAACTGCTAACACTTGCATAAATTTAAAATGTAGTACATTTGCCAAAGTCCAGACATAAAGCATCAGCAAGTGCCAAATGCTTTAGAAGTTCTTGGCTTCATATTTAAAAATGTTTAATCTATCAAGGGGATAATTCTCTCAGTGGAATTACTGACTTCTTTATAGTACAGGTACAAGATTAAGAGGCAAGAACAGCATAGCACTTAGGCATATTGTCTATAAAATGGGAATAATCAAATCTCAAAAGCACTGAGTTCCTGCTTTTATGTTCATCTCAGTGCCCTACCTGTTTCAAAAGCATTTAACCAATATAGGCACTCTGATTTTAACAGGTGCTAAGATACCATAGTGATAGGCCAAGAAGAAGTACAACTATTTACCTTGCTCTTTTCCTTCTAGTCTGCAGGCTGTTATCAGAAGAAGACCAAATCAAGGAAGCAGGTTCTGAATTTTGCACTGAAGGGAAGGCCTGGAGGTTCAAGATTATTCTGTTCTCTTCTGGGAGTGAGTTCAAATTCATGGGCCAGTTGCTAAAATAGCTTGGTTTCCTGTACAACATGAATTGAACTTTGAGATTGACAATGTCATTGACTGTATAGCTGTTCTATGAAGGTTGTAATTATATGGGGTGGTAGAGTGCTGCAGATAACAGGTCGATTCCACAGAGAGCTTTCAAGGCAGAAGCTGAAACCTTAAACTGAAGCTGGTATTTCTAGCTCTCTTCTATAAGGGAAGAGCTCTTGTAGAACTCTTTTCTACAAGAAAACCTGCATAGATTTCTTTAGCCTCATCCCTGTCCCCTCCTGTTAGATTTGGATATTATGTCTGGCTGTAGCTGGAAGACTGGGTGAAACATTCCCACAAGTATCTTACATTGATCTACACCAGCAAAACCACCACAATGTCTACAGGGGACAGACAGATGTGGTTTAGTTGGTCTTTAGCTTTTACATCCTGTATCTATGATCCAACAGCAAACAAAAGATTGAGGAGATGCACAGAGTGGATCAGATGTCAATGTACCATGCTAATCAATGTGCAGACTAGAAATTCTGTGGGCACAGTCTGGAAATCGGGTATATTCCATGTGTGCCACCAAATTGCTATATGATCTTGGATAAGTCATGTCATCTGCCCACCTCCATCTCCTCACTGGGGTAAGACAATACTATTTGTTTTGTAAAGGTTTCATGACAAGTACTCTAAGACTGCTGACACATTATTTTTGTAGTGTTACAACACACAGATCACTCTGGGGTGTGCACACATGCACAGCCTCCCTGGTGAGAGCACCATAAAGTTGTTATAAATGTATACTACCCAGCCATGGGATAGTAGGGGGCTGTTCCACAGCTCCCTCTGCCCCCTAGGAAGCCTGCCAGTGAGCAGAATAGGCTCACTGACAGGTCTACCTAATCAAACTGCTGGCAGGGGCAAGGGCTGATGAGGTGGTCTCTGGTCTGGGACTGCCTTCAAGTAGGGAACTTTAAATGGTTGTTGATATTTCAGGGGGTTGCAGCTGCCTGATCAGCCCCTACTGCTTCTGCAGCAGCTGCAAGCCAGGTCCCTAGCAGGCTCAATGACAGCTCCCTGCAGGCTATCACAGAACCAGCCAGCCGCTCTCCCCTCCCCCTTGGAGGTGGGAGAGGGAAAGCTAAGGGATCTCCTAAATAGTAATGATCAGGAGATGGACCACTCTAGATATACCCTGTTCACATTCCCCTGCTAAAGCATCCATTCCAAAATATGTAGAACCTTGCACTTCTGATATTGCAGAATTTCAGGGGAGAATGCTTTTTGCAAATACTGTAGGCCCAAGAGCAGCTCTGGCTTCTCTGATGATTACTCTTCCTTTAAGTAATCCCAGTATGGAACTGTGGATACATAAGTCATGAGTCATTAGTGAGCCTGAAGCTTGGGGGAATATGTTGCTGTTCACTTATGCTAGGACCCAGCAGTGTAACTAAAAGAGGTGGGCAGCAGCAGCTTTGGGTACTGACTTGAAAGGAGTGGGAAGAGGACAAAACAAAAATAACAGCTGCCACCACCAGCCAGCTGCTCCCCTCTTCTACCTCTGCTAGAAACAGGAATTCATGTGGGAGAAACTGGAACGGGGGAAAGAGTTCAGAAAGTGAAGTAAAGGAGAAATTGAATAAATCCATATTTATTTTAATGTTTATCTTTATCACCAGACATTGAAGAAACAAAGAATAGTGGGGAGGCCCTCCAGGAATTACTGCAGCTTGTGTGTGTGGGTATCACAAAGCCTGTAGGATGTTTTACAGTTCATGTGTGCACTGGGGTTTGTGTATATAAAAAGACTGTTTCAATGGCTTTTCTTCACTGCAGACTCTGTGAGGTTTAACTATAGGTTTGTAAGAGGTCTCCAACTCAATATCTGAAAATTTTGTTAGATGTTCATTTATGCTTTATGTTAATACATCTGCCTGACCCAAGATGGGGCAAACCTCTTAACTTATTCTGCATATTGCTAATTTAATTTTACTAAAGTGAAAATGTATAGTTGGGGCTAATTACAGCAGACTTCCTCCAGTCTTTTCCCACAGGCTCTCAAGCACCCATGTTGAGCACTTTTTTCCCCTCTGTCTGAGGTCTGAACGACAAGCATGCATGTGCTTCTGCTCAGAATTCTTGGTTCTACTTTGTAGTTTCTCCAGCTTCTTACAGCAGAATTATAGCTTCATAGATGATGCTACAATTGGAAGGTTGGAAGGGACCTCAACAGATCATCAGGTCCGACACCCTGCCTAGGCAGGAAAGTGCTGGGGTCAGATGACCCCAGCCAGATGCCTATCCAACCTTCTCTTAAAGACTCCCAAGGTAGGGGAGAGCACCACCAGTAAGAAGTCCATGTATTGTTGTGAAGGTCCCCAATCAGACGATCATGTCAGCATCTTGGGCCAGTTTGGCCCAAAGTGACCAAATTACATGACTTCAACTCCTTGAAGGGGAGGACTGAGTTGCAGGAAGGAACATCTCAGCACCTAGCCACCAACTGCAGGATCAAGTAGATCCAACAGCAATATAAAGAGAAGATGAAAGTCTTTAAGGTGTGAGGTACTGGAAGACTAAGGATAAGAAATCCATTTGCTGTCCTGTCATGGCCTGTTTTATGACTAGGACTGTTCTGAACAGAAACCTTATTATGGTATGTGCTGTTGCAAGAAAAGACAAAAAATGTCCTCTCTGTAGACAGAAGGTCTCCTCCCCAAGGCCAAGGTTAACTGGGCTATGGA